GATAATAAATTAACACTTGACGCTCTTGTCGAACCCGGAGTTATTTTTTTAATCCTAGTTATCAATGCGATAATCGGCATAACGCAAGAAAAAAAAGCTCGAAAAAGTTTAGATGCTTTAAAAAAACTGCAAGCAGACGTGTCATTTGTTTTACGAAAAGGAAAATGGCACCGAATTGACTCTCGTAATCTTGTTCCCGGTGATATAATTGAAATTAGAACGGGTGATCGCATCCCCGCAGATTGCAGAATTATAGAAATTATTTCTCGATTTGTAAAAACGCAACAAAGTGAGCTTACAGGAGAAAGTTACCCTGTTGTTAAAACTGCTGCAGTGTTAGAACAGCCTTGTAACGAAATCCAAGGGCTCAATAACATTCTGCTAGGCGGAACGACACTAACGTTTGGAACATGCCGCTGCTTGGTATTGGCTACAGGAATGACCACAGAAATAGGAAAAATCCATAAATCACTTGTTGAAGACACCCATGAAACTCAAACTCCTTTGAAAAAACAGCTTTCGATCTTCGCAGACCAGCTTACTAAAATAATATTGGTCATTTGTGCACTAGTGTGGCTGATAAACATTCAAAATTTCAGTGCCCATGGATCATTCCTCAATGGTTGTATTTATTATCTTAAAATATCAATCGCTCTGGCAGTGGCTGCTATGCCGGAAGGACTCCCTACTGTAATTACTACTTGCTTAGCTCTTGGAACTCGAAGAATGAGCATGCGAAATGCTATTGTGCGAAAATTGGCTTGTGTGGAAACTCTTGGATGTACCACTGTTATTTGCTCGGACAAAACAGGTACACTTACAACAAATAAAATGAGAGTTCATGAGTTTTCAATTTTGTCAAACTTATTTACAAAATACGACGCTGAACCTTATGAGTCAGTCGTATCGTCTTCTGACTCGAAGGGAAATGACGTAATTAAACGCAACACTTTGAAATTTTCTGACACATTTAACAACACAACAGCGTTTATCCACTTTTTGAAATGCGCTTCTTTCTGCAATCAAAGTAAATTGATATACCAAAACACGTCTTCTCTCGAACCTAGAGGAGACCCCACCGATATCGCTTTAAAGTATTTGGTTGAGCAAGTTGATGTATCTGTTTTTAAACCTAGCTTAATTAATACCGACCATACTAGTATTGATAGCAGCAATGCCGAAGTGAACGGAAACTTCTGGCGTCAGAATGAAAGCATCGTGGCAACGTTAGAATTTTCTAGAGCCCGCAAAAGCATGAGTGTCATTCTTAAAGATTACAATAACAACTATTCGCTGTACGTCAAAGGTGCGCCTGAAAACATTATCGCTAGATGTACTCATATGTTTGATGGATCCGGTAAAATTGTGGCTTTGTCGCCTGAAGCAATTAACCAGGCACACGAACATTTAGGAGAAATGGCTCAAAAAGCGCTTAGAACGTTGGCTCTAGCAGTGAAATTCAACGTAGGTTTTGACAATTTTGACTTTCTAGACGATGAAAATGAATACGAGAACGTAGAAAAAGATTTAATACTACTCGGGTTATGCGGTATACACGATCCACCTCGCCCAGAAGTCAAAAAAGCCCTCGAAAAATGCAGAAAGTCTGCAGTCAGAATAATTATGATCACTGGAGATTCTAAAAAAACGGCAAATGCCGTAGCTGAAATTATTGGACTTGGTGGAAATAACACTAATCTTTCTTCTCTAACAGCTGCAGAGTATAAGTTACTTCCTCGCACCCAAAAAATTGAGTTGTTAAGTTCTAAAAACGGAGCTATTATTTCCCGAGCAAATCCCTTAGACAAACTTGAAATTGTTACTTTGCTACAAGAGCGAGGCGAAATTGTTGCAATGACAGGAGATGGTATTAACGATGGTCCTGCACTTAAGTCTAGCGACATCGGAATTGCTCTAGGACTTTCCGGTACTGAAGTAGCGAAAGAAGCCGCTGATATGATATTAGCTGATGATAACTTCTCTACCATTGTTTCAGCAATAGAAGAGGGAAGATCAATCTACTATAACATGAAATGTTTTATTCGATACTTGATTAGTTCAAACATAGGAGAAATCATGTCAATCTTCTTGGCCACGGCTATGGGTTTGCCTGACACTTTTCTCCCGGTTCAATTATTGTGGGTGAATTTAATTACAGATGGGGCTCCCGCTACAGCTTTGAGTTTTAACAAAACAGATGAAAATCTTATGAATAAACGACCAAGAGATTCGTCAGAAAAATTAATAAACTCCTGGACAATCATCAGATATGTTGTTATAGGAACATACGTTGGAATCGCTACTGTTGGGATATACCTATTTCATATCTTGTCAGCTTGTTCGACTTTTGGCGCTTGGGATACTTTGAAACAGTTACGCAACTATCAAGAATGTCACGCGTGGAAAGACTCGCAATATCATGGAACTTTTATTGACGCCACTTTACAAAACACTGGCTTGTGTCAATGCATTTTGAAAAATCGCACTAAAGCTTCCACTTTGTCATTAACAGTTTTAGTAGTTATCGAAATGTTAAATGCATTAAACGCTCTTAATGAAAACCAAAGTCTATTGTCTGTAGGACCTTTGAGCAACCCACTTCTTATTGTTGCTATAATTTTCAGTCTTATAATTCATTTGTTGATGATTTATATTCCGTTTTTTAACAAAATATTCCATACTACGCCGCTGAATATTTACAATTGGTTGGTGATTATTGGAATTTCCTTTCCAATAATATTTATCGAAGAAATTCTTAAATTTATTGATCGCCGAAAAATTAACGACGAGAAAATGCTAAAGAATAACGAAAAGCTAACTAGATTGATCGATGTTAACTAGAATATAATTTTTCTAATCCATCCAAGTAATCAATTTGCACTTTGCCTAGAATGCTATTGTGAAAAATATTTTTTTGTCCATTTTATCAATAGAATATCGCAATGATGATTCTCACATCCTGATTGGAAATCTAGTTCCGAGAATATTTGAAAAATTTTTTCAAAGTTATCAAGTAATTTATGTGTTTCTGCAGTTTGTTTAGCTTCTGAAACATTTAAAATCGATGTAATAGCTTTATGTTCAAATTCATTTTTATGTTGCATCAGAACGGATCTTATTTTAAAAGCGTAGTAACAAAAAATTTTATTTTTTTTATCCGAGAAGTAATTTAGATTGCTTCTAATAAAGTTTTTTCGAGACAAAAATCGCAAGAAATTTAAAAAGCTAACTTTTATCGTTTTTAAAAACATTTCACATTTCGTTCTATATGTTTTAATCCATGTACTACTTTCATCTAGCTGAATGAAAGCTTTTGATGCATATAAAAAAGCCAGTTTTATAACTGTATCTAACTCAATGTAACAGATTTGTTCTGAAAAAAGTGCTGCAGTCAAAATATTTTTAACAAAACATTTAATTAGTGATTCGTATTTCTCTAATTTGTCAGCAATATTTTTAGGTTTTGAATTTAAATAAGTGTTTAAGATGTTGATTAAATTAGAAATATCGTTATTTTTTATCAAGAATAATTCAACAGTTTGACTTACTTTAATGTCATAATTTTGATACTCCAGAGAAATAAAAAATATTTCCAGCTCTTTACTATTGTAAAGTTTTAGATTATATATATACACTGTAAAAGCTAGTTCTTCATTTCTATAGTTTAAAGCTAATGATAATTCATTTTTGCATATCCATTGTAGTGTGATCAATGAGTTCAAAAAAATATCATCTGCTCCGTTAGCTAGTTTATGATATTTCAGTAGAACATCAGCACATTTAGCAAACGATTTTGATGTGATTTTTTTAAAGAGCAACTTATTTTATGCAATTCGGCTTGTTCGAACGATGCAATTAGCGAGTTGAGCATAAACTCATTTTTCGTATATTGTATATTACAGAATTTTATTGTTTGATTAATATATTTCACACACATCGATTTTCAGGTATCTAATTTTCGTTTAAGTTGCACAGATTCATTGACATCAAAATCTAAAAAACAACTCAGCTATACAATATAAGATCAATCAACCTTATTGTGTATAATTTTATGAACAGCTCTGCTAAAAGTGCGACTTTCTTATTCGGAAAAATAACTAATTAAATTGACTTATAGCTTAAGTAATATTAAGAAATAAAGTACAAAAGCTGCTTAAATATTACAGATATGCCAAACCAATATTAAATTTGTTGTGAATCTATTTGACTTGTATGAGCACCGAAAAAATTAAGTTGTACTTAATTTCTGTCGAGAATGGAAATATTAAAAAATAACTAAAAAGTACAAGATAAAAAAAGACTTGAACGAACAAAGCAATTAGTATTATTGGAGAAGATTTTTAAATTAGTTCAATAAATTAAATGATCTCAAAAAGAAAAAAGATAATTTACTAGAAATCTAAAATTAGTTCTAAATGATTATACAAGATAAACGATTGAGACTATTGATTATACTACTAAATATTAGTTTCGTTGTATATCTTGGGGTCTTCCAGCACTATGGGTTGCTTGGACTCACCATTGTACTTTTGATTTTTTCGAGTAATTTTTTCTATTCTTACTTTGAGTACATTTCATGCGTAATGCTGCAAAAAGGAATTACAGGTCGGAACTATCATAAAGTCAGTGAACTGACTTCTACAATGTTGCCTGAAACGTTAGGAATTGTCGTAATCGCGAATCATTTGCTGGTTTGTGGCATATATTTCATCTTCGAATATATAACTGACAAGAATGCCGAAATTAATTATATAATATTGTCATTTTCTATGTTATTGGGTGCATTTCTGGGATTCGTTGATGACATCGTGTGTATTTCAAAAAAGGTTAAGTTTTTCTTAACGTTGTTGTTTGGACTGTGGATTAGATCGAGTGTTAAAAGTTCTAGTACTAATGAGTTTAGCGAAATAAACGAAGTTGCATATATTCAAAAATTCTTTTTACCGCTCATCAAATTTCCCATAATGTTAAAACTTATCGAACTAGCGTGTGTTGCTACAATGACGGTCGTATTTTGCAACTCCGTTAACATTTATGCAGGAATAAACGGTTTGGAAGTGGGTCAAGCTATCGTGATAGCGATCATTTTATTTTTGAATAAGTTATACACGGCTTTCTCTTTAAACATTGACGACAACTTCACTGTTCATCAACTTTGGTCGTACCTGACATTTATAACACTTTCTCTCTTTCTATACTCCAAGAATAAATACCCAGCACTTTGCTTCATTGGAAACATTTACACTTATTATTGCACATTTTTTTTATTTACTCAAGCTATGTTGTCTCGTTCGCTCAGTCTGCTGTTTTTAATTTCAATGCCACAAATATTCAATTTCATCGTTAGTATTCCACAACTAATAGGCATAATTCACTGTCCAATACATCGTATACCTCTGATTAACAAAAAAACTAACTGTCTTGAACCGTCTAACAATCAAACTTTGATTAATTACTGGCTTCGAATAAGATCTCATTTGAGCGAATTACAGCTATTTCGTGAACTAATGGTATTACAATGCGTCACTGGTGCATTGGGTTTATACATTTACCATAAACAGGCAAGTTAAAAATAGTAAATTTTTAAACTATGTATCCGTTACTTAAAAATTAATTAATATTATCGTGTATATCAATGTATTTACCTTTTTGGCTTAACGAAGGAAACCTTCTTTTTGAATTTCTGTTTTTAAAGCTGCCGAACGAGCACGTCTTAGAGTTTACGTATTGATTGTTCGCAATTATTTTAGGCAGTGACACATTTGGTTTGTTGTTAGCTACCTTTGAATTAATTTTTTCAGTCTCCGGTAATTTTGGACTAGCGGGTGGGGCGGCAGGTTTGATACGGAGTGGACTGTTGTGCATCTCTAAAGTTGGAGATCGTGCTGAGTTAATTTTAGCAACTGAATATCCTGCCCCCGTTGCAGATATCATAGATGGCGATAAATTTTGAAGCGTCTCAAAATCGTTCAAATTTTCGCTTCTTTCTTTTTTGTTATGAACATTGTTCAACGATTGACTGTAAATGTCTAATATCTCTTTTGACTGACTTAATGGAGTGTAACTCCCGGTCAAATCAGACATCGAATCTGAATTAGTATGAAGTATATATTTCTTTCTCGGTTCTTCTTGCTTTAGATACTTGTTCCGAAATTGTTCTGTGCTTGTTGTGTTCCCATCCTCTAATTTCAAATTATTATTTTCAACCAGCGTGACTTCTGGTTGTGCAGGAGTATGAATCGATTCGTTAGATATAGAATAGTGCTTCAACTGTTCTATATTTAATGCTGACTCGCCTTGAGCGGAAACCTGAAAAATTTTTAAACGCATAGCACTATGTGTAGAACCATCGGTTTTTGATTCAGCATAATATTGTATTTTTTTGGCATGGTAAGATTTCTTATTGTCGTCCACTTTATAAACTGAGCCCGATGCAGTGTAGTTGTTGTTGTTTTCCGAGAAGTTTGCTTTTTTGATGCTGTCAGTATTTTTATTTTGAAAAGATTTGTCTTGGTTTTGCGGATTATCGGCTGTGCGTATTTCTTCAATTTTCATTTTACAAAGGTGGCAAAGTTTTTTTCTCTTATTTTACTTAGTAACTACGTTTAGTTTACTGATAATAACTACTTATAAATCTCTATTGTACTGTCCGGTAAGGTTTTGTTGATTTTGAAACACCACAAGTTTAACGCAATAAACATTCTTATTAAAGCATGCAGTTACTAAATGATAATCCATAGAATTGTTATTAATTGAGAAATGACACGTTTTAATTACGAGCGACGCATTTTCAAGACATACTAAATTTTACAAAGCAAAGAAAAAATTTCTCCATCTTAGTAACCTGATACCCACGTTATGACTGTTGAATAGTTTTTATCTGTAATACAAATGGTAGTTAAATTTTTTTAATGTACATGTCGTGCATGTTTTAACTTGCACCAGCTCAATCTATACTATAAGGTATTGTTTAAATAATACATGCAATGTTGGGCTTTTCAGGGCAAATTCCAATTAAACCTAAAGAGGAAGATTCAAACTCTAGTGAAGAAAATTTAGAGCTCAATGATACTTACCCTTGTGTAGTAAATCAACAGAAACTATTATCTTATGCAAACACAAATAAAGCTCCTTTTTCGCAAAATCTCGAGGTAGACCCCACGATTCTGGTCGAAGATCCGATATTAGACTCTAAACCCAAACTATTTGCTCTTAAAATCGTAGTTACAAAACGTCCTGAAGACGAAAGCCAGAAAACGCACGTCATTGAGGTAGATGGACAAAAAATAACGATTGATCAAAAGAGTCGCGAAATACATCTTATTCCTGAACAGAATAAGCACTATAAAGAACTGTCAAACCACACAGCGGCTGAATCACAGTCAACTTCTTTATTGCGGAAATCAAGTAGTATTGTTAACCTCAATAATGCGACAATTCCGAACAGTATGGTTCATGTTTATCAATCCGACGAACCAGTGGATTTCAATGTGGTCAAGAATGGGATGTTTCAAAGTGACGATTTAGCCGACAATTCGGACGATTCACACTTTGAAGTGTTAGAACAAGGATACGCTTCAACTATTCCAAGAAACCGAGTACAACCGGAAATCGTTGATAAAAAAGCAAATAAACGAGATGTGTTGAAAAAAATATCAAACGAGGCTAATCAGTCTGAAAATAGATTCAAAAACAAAAGTAAAGAAAAACTGCAGAGTATCAAAAACAACATTGGTCAAAAACTAGACACAAAAATTAAAATTGCAAACAACATTATACCTGAAGTAAACGAATTCACTGGGTTTAGCCGTGGTTTGACTGATTTGGTACAAAGTGGCGACCATGAGCAACCGCAAGTGCTCCATTACATTACAACTAATGAAGTCGCCGCTGCTGAACGTAAGAGAATGGAGACTGAACTGTTGAACGAAAACAACAATGCTATAAATGCAATTTTGACGGACTTTGAGAAAGAATCTATCATCAATAAAATCAAAAACAAATTCCGATCAAACGCCGACGAAGTAGATGCGCAACCGCATATGGAACTCACATTCCAAAATTCAGATAAGCTGGAAGAATTTCTTGATAGAGAAGACATCGGAGGATACATGTGGGAAAAAGTAGACGATACTAACAGCGAAACTGTAGACAGTGACGCTGAAGCGCCTCTTAAACCTTCAATAATATATGCCGGATGCACAACAGAACCACCAGTGTATGCTGGTTCACTCGAACCCAAAAGTATGGTTTTGCACGCTTGCGAAATCCACCAATACATGCCGTTCCCGTCCATTGAAATTCCCCCTTTCATGAGAGAGTATAAAGACATCCATAAGGAGTCGTTGTCAGGTCCCGTACCGTTGCCTTTCAACCCCAAAAACACTGGGATGCCCGCTATTATGCTTGATCAAATTTTTAAGAGGAACGGAAACGTCAACGAAATAGCGCCAGCCATGCAATCTCTTTTCAACCCTAAGTTTTTAGTAGAAACAACCACCAAATCTACGCATTAAAATCAACCTGGACCATTTGTTAAATTAGTTAATTTAGTCTCTTGAAAATAAAGCTGTGTAGTATACTGCAGTTTATTGATGAAATTCCATCAAAGTTTATTATAAAAATGAATTTATAATTTCAATAGTCTTTTCTAATTCTTTTTGTTCGGATTTATAGTTTGTCAAATTTTCGCTATTTGATTCTTGAACAGTGATTGGTACCTTTTCAGAATATTGCGGAGATTGCATTTTATCTTGAATCTTTTTTATTAAACTTTCGAGAAGTTCCTGGCGCTTGACAGATTTCACCTTAACTTTGAGTAAATCCATGTTAGCGTCGTATTGTATACCAATAATCTTTCCAGCAGGAGTAATGTAGTTAATTACATTTGTCGGAAGCTGTTTAACGAAAATGACGTCACCTAGTCTGACTGACTTTTGGATGTATTCAGAGTATGGCATAAGCGAATCGCCAACTATGTATGAGACAAGCTCCGACGTTGTTGTAAACTCGAATTTGCTGATGAAAGATCTAAAACCGGACAGGGCGTCAATAACAAGATTAATTTCGTCCTCTACATCGAACTTCAACTGGTCGTTCGATATGGGGAAGTCGCTGGAGATAAGTAATTTGAATGGGCTTGCGATGTTTAAGTCGTGGTAGAGCGACTGCCATATTTCCTCAGTTACAAAAGGTAAAAATGGGTGGCTGAGTCTAATAAACATTTCCAAAACGTTGAACAAGATTGGAAATGACTGTTTTTGAGAATGCTTGGAGTATTCGATGTAAACGTCGCAGAATTTGCTTAAGAAAAACGAGTAAATGCTCGAAACAGCGCTGTAAAAGTCGAACTCTTCTATACTCTGCTCCACAGTAGATATTAATTTCATCAGATGACTCAAAATCCACTTGTCGAACGGACGAAGTTTTTGAAGCGGAATCAAGATTTCGTTGTTTGACAAACTGAAATCTTGTTTCTTTCCAATGGACAAAACAAATTTCGCAGCTTGCCATATCTTGTTGCAGAAGTGACGGTAACCTACAATTCGATTAACGTCTAAGTTTATATCTTTCCCTGCTCGTAAATAACTGAGGAGGCAGAAGCGTAACGCGTCAGAACCGCACTGCATGATGCCTTTTGGGTACTCTTTCTTAACAGCTTGAATAGCTTGCTTCATTTCAGACTCTCTGACATTTCCTGACTTGATATTATCAATAAGTTTATCGAGAGAAATACCGTTTATAACGTCCACTGGATCAATTATATTTCCAAGAGACTTCGACATTTTCCGGCCATGAGCATCACGCACAATAGGATGCAACAAAATTGTGTGGAAAGGTAACTTGTCTGTGAGTTCTAAAGAAAGCATAACCATTCTTGCAACCCAGAAAAATAGAATGTCACTTCCAGTTTCCAGAATGTCAGTTGGGAAAAATTTCTTTAGATCTGCAGTCTCATTTGGCCATCCAAAAACGCTGAAAGGGAACAAACCTGAAGAAAACCACGTATCGAGAACATCGCTATCGCGTTCAATAACGACGTTTTCACCGTATTTTTTTTTGGCTTGCTTTAAAGCTTCTTCGAAAGACTCAGCAACTACCCATTGCTCGTTTTCAAAATCGCACTGTTTATTTCCTTTCAAAAATTCAGTTACACGATAAGCAGGAATTTGATGACCCCACCAAAGCTGTCTGCTGATGCACCAGTCCTTAATGTTTGAAAGCCAATGATTCCATTGTTTCTCTCCAGATGCTGGATAAATTTTCAGTTCCGAAGATTTTACGGCTTGTATTGCCCGATCCGCCATGTCCTTGCAGTTAACGTACCATTGAGGAATCAGAAGAGGTTCAATTATATCTCCGGAACGACTGCAAATGGGAACAACCATTTTTTTCGGATTTTTTGTTTTTTCTATAAAAAGACCGAGTTCCGTTAGGCGTTTTTCAACCATATATCGAGCTTCGAATCTATGCATTCCACAGAATTCTCCACAATTGGAATTCATTTTTCCATCCGTGGTAAAAATGTTGATAATTTCTAAATTGTGTCTGCAAGCTATTTCATAATCGTTTTTGTCATGTGCCGGTGTGATTTTAACTGCTCCAGTCCCGAATTCCACATCACAATGATTGTCTGCTACAACAATCATTTTTCGATTAGAAATAAAAGGGTGAATCAACCTACGTCCTACCAAATGCTTATATCTTTTGTCAGTAGGGTTTACAGCAATTGCAACATCTCCTAACATTGTTTCTGGACGCGTGGTTGAAATAGGAATTTTTTCCTCCGAGTTTTCTACAGCGTAGTAAAAAGTCCACAAATAACCAACTTCAACTTGTCTCGAATAACCTGGAATAGAAATTTTTTTTGGTTCGGAAAGCTCCAGAGAATCTACTTCAATATCACTCAAGGCAGTATTCAAATATGGCGACCAAAACACTAATCGCTTATCGCGATATATTAATTTTTTGTTATACAGTTCAATAAAAGCCTTTACTACTGCTTTTGACAAAGCGGGAGATAAAGTGAAGGCTTTTCGAGACCAATCACAGGAAGAGCCAAGCCTACGCAGCTGGTCTAAAATGACTTGGCCTTTTTGGTTTTTCCAATCCCAAACTTTTTCGATAAATTGCGCACGGCCCAATTCATGCTTACTGATTCCTTGTTTCGCCAAATTACGTTCGACCACTGATTGAGTAGCAATTCCGGCATGATCAGTACCTGGAACCCAACAGACGTTGAAACCTTTCATTCGTTTATATCTAGTTAGCAAATCCTCAATCGCTATCATTAAAGTATGACCTAAGTGAAGATGCCCCGTGATGTTCGGAGGAGGCATAACCATAGAAAATGTTGGTCTTTTGTCATCTTCTTTGTTCGAACCGAATTGAACGCCCGACTTTTCCCAGGTTGATATCCATTTTGCTAACACGTTATCTTTAGACAAAACTTACGTTCAATAATATCTGGTTGATACGAGTCTAGCATTATAAATTATTATGCTTCAAATAGTGTTTATTTAGCTTATTTTTAAAGTAAACGAAATTTACAAAAGTATCTTTTATGAGAGTTTCAAATAACGTTATATTTAAGATAAATGGTTAATTTAAAATTATTTATTTTCCGTCTGCTTTACATTCCTTCAAGAAAAGTTTCTTCTGAATGAATAAGAACTACTTCGTTATATAGTGATTTATTTTTCTGTTTTCATTTCCGATACATTTTGATTAATCGAGTTGATATTTTGTTTAGTTATATATTTTACAGAATCAAATTATTTAACTTTGTACCATAAACTTTTTAATTGTATTGTAGAAATCTATGGCTGAGGTATTTACAGCAGTTTGTGCATTAGGAATATCTTTTTTACTAGAAGGAGTAAGTAAAATGATAAAAGGTTGCATTGATTTAGTTTTTGAGACATCTGGTTTATTAACGACAGAGGAATTTTCGTAATTATATGTATTATTGTTGTAGTATGTGTGCTTACCAATATTTCTTATGGGAATTTGATTTGTATTGATCATATAATCAGATTGAAGGGGTTGTTGCATATCCATAGGGACATTAGTATATTGATTTAGTTGATTTGGAACTACGTTGAATTGGTTTATTTTATTTGCAGTTGAAGCTTGAACAAACTGTGACTCACTCTTATAATGCATTGGCATGGGCTTTCTGTGCATGTAGGACGGTACGCTTTCCGGACTAATTGATACGTTTGAAGGAATGCCTCTCATCACAGACATGTTTTGGTGCTTATTCATATGAATTGACTTTGGACTTTGCATATTTACCATGTATGAACTTTGCTCAGCACTGTTCATCTGCATCATTTGATTCATTGGTGAGTATGACATTTTTGGTTGTTGTGATTGATGTTCATTTAATTGATCGTATTTTATTTCAGTCGAGTACTGCATATTGTCACACATGTTAGGAACCATTCTCACGTTTTTGGAATGCGCTCCGTTGGCGAAGTTATTCATAAATGCTTTTTCCATCATTTCGCGTACCTTTACAGGTGGATAAATGTTTTTAACCATATTCGCTTGATGTTCATTGTAATACCTGGTATTGCACTTCTCTATTGGTGTCGACCTAAATAATTGATTGGTCGACGAAGCAGTCATACGGTATTGCATTTCCATTCTGTTCGGATAATCACTTTTATAATAGTTAGGTATCGGGGCACTCATCTTATATGCTGGCTCGTGCATGAATTTTTGACAATATACATTGACCGGCTGTTCAGCGAGTTCAATGGACGAATCGTAACCTTGCTTAGGATGAGGTTGATAATAAGTATTATTTTTACCCATCATTGGATCCATTTTCTGCATATTTTCTTCGATTAAATTCGAATTGTGATAATAATCTCTCATTCCATCACTGCTTTGGTCCATACATCCATTTTGGTGCACATTCAAATCTTCCACCATTAAATCTTGTTTTATTGCTTGTCTCCGGTCATTTGAGTACATAATAAATTAAAAAAACTACTTAATTACTTCTAACTTAAGTTTATTGTAAGATTTATTTTCGAATGTCGTTTGTCGCTTTCTAACTATTTCAACACAGTAAAAATTAATTACAACACATTAATAATGCAGTCAAGCTAAAATCCAACAATGATAATTAGCCTCGGAAAACCTGACGATATGTGCTAGAAATTAGTCGTAGTAGATTAATGCTATTAAGTTTCTTAATATACAATGATTTTGACTTATTAATTGTAAATTAAGGGACGTAATTACGTCCCAATATTTGTAATTATTTTTTAATATAATAATTGTGTTAACAATTATTATACCTTAATGCCATAAACATTGTCTCAAAAATGATGATATTTAATACCAGCTTTTGAGTTTGCTTAAATCTACAACAATTAACATTATTCCAAGTAATAAGTAAAAATAACTTAATATTATTACTGTGGAAACCTTTGATTTTATTGCTTTGTCCAAATCTTGATTAGCTTTTTTCAAATGTTGCGTCGATAGTTCTGTTGAAACTAATACTAAGCACGGTTTTTTGAATTTTGAACTTACTATTCTCAGTTTTTTCTTTTTGCAGTTGAACTTCAGTTAAAATTTTTGTTGTAATAACAGATATTTGTTCAAGTTTTTGATCAATCTCCCTAAAGAAACATGAAATTTAAGTCTATTTTTCATAGTATATTTTACTCGCTTATAGTACTTACTCAATTAACTCTGATTCGCGATTTTTACTCTGCATATTGATCATCGCTTTACCAAATTTATTATTTAAAGCATTTATTTTTTCTTCTTTTGAACATTCGAAATTCTTCGTATTGTGATACATCAAATTGATATTTTTACGAGTTTTAGTAGAAATAACTAGGGGGGGGTGTTTTAACGTAAATTCATCGTTATCTGCATCTTTATTAAAATCGAATTTATCTATTTTATAATATAAATTATAAATATCAGTTATTATTGTTTCATCGCACTGACTATTGGGTTCGATCAATTTTTCGATTTTTTTTTCTACAAGATCACAAATTAATGGTTTCCATTCAGGCTTGTCACATGATAATTGTTCAAATACCGAGTTGATCTTATTGATAGATTTCGTTTTTAACAAATCAGGAGCAGTTTGCGCGTTAAGTTTAAAAATAGTGTATTCATCGTAAAACATACTCAATTCTGAAAGCTGTTGCGATAAAATTTGTAAGATTGAACTATGATATTCCTTTTCGTCATTTTTGTACGAATCTAACGCTTTTATGTGCAAATTTATTGCTTCAACAATAGCAGTGTAAAAAACCAGGTAACGTTTGGTAGCTGTCTTAATTTCTGATGCATCATCTTCTGCATATTTTTTACACACATCAAAATTAAATTTACTTAATATTCCGTTTTTTTTGGAATTTAAGCGTTTGTATTTGATTGGAATAGGAGTGAAAAAATTCAATTCTCTTAAAGCATTTGAAATCAGTTCCAGCTACAAAATTTTATAATAGTCTAAATAAACATACAATGTAATAATATTTGTCAAGTGTTGGGTCAATAACTTTAATGTCACATTTAGTGAAACGAGGTACAAGCTTTTTTGTAATATCCATAAATTAACTCTCCATAATTGACATAGAAAAATCTAAAATAAGTAAATCTCATTATTAAAAAAATATATTAATTATTGATAAAATGATCTGAAATAAGTGATAAATTTATACTTTTTATTTTTTGAACAATGACTGCACATATTGATTACAAATAGTTAAAGTGTATTCGAATTTAGCACGATCATCTTGATCTTCGTATTCGATTTTTTGAATATTTTCAAATACTTCTGCCAGTTTTAGTAAAAAGTTCGAGTTTTTGAAGCCAATTGAAATTGCATATTTTTTAATAATATCGTATGGAATGAATAAAGCTCCTGAATCTTTAAACTGTAAGTAGACGTTCGGCGGCATAATACTTAACATTTCGCTAATTATTGATGTGACATAGTGGAACTCCTCGCAAAGAATTGCATGTTTGATCAAATATAAACATAAACTTAAGACTAATTCGTACGGCAAGGGAGTGTATTGATGCAAGTCGTAGGAATATATAATCGCGTAACCTTCCTCTAGTCGAAGTTTGTATCTTATTGCATATTCTTTTAATAGAGCGGGTTTATAGTGCAGCCCATATTTAGATATTTCGTCTAAAATAAAGTTTGATTGAGCCGTGTTATTTAAAATTAAATCTTTGTTTCTAGGTAACAAATTAAACGTCGTTATTATGTTCTTATGAATGTTGCAAACTCGATTGATCTCAAGCAGTAGTTGTAAAAAATTTATTGAGTAATAGCCGTTCTTAAAATGTTTGGGAAGTAATTTAAACATGTCTGGATAGCGATACAATTGACGTAAAGAACTGCTATCACTGTTTTCACATTCCGATACATATGTGGATAGCACTTTGCAAATTGCGTAAAACTCTGAATTAGTCGTTATTATTAGGTTATTTGAAAGTAATTCAGGAAACAATATAATAGCACCTAAACATAACATAGATCTGGTATGTAATTTTGGATCACATTCAAACTGAATATTTTTAGCTGCGTAGTTGAATTTTAAAGATATAATGTAAAACAAGTTTAGCCAAATGGTCGCTGGAACTTGAGTGTAAGACAATTGATTGAACGTGAAATCAATATTTTCAACGAGGAAATCTAGAGTTAAAGCCGGAGGGTTATCTTGTTTTACGTCGTCGAGCGAAAAAATATTTGCAATATCCCTTGTTAATGCGTTAATTGTATCAATATTACTAATACTTCCAAAACAAGACGACGTTACAATCTTGGACTCGAGCTCAAGCAGCGATTTTGCAACTAGCAAATCAACATATTCTTGAACATAAGTGTACCGAAAGAGCAACGGTAGTAATAAATACCGCAAACTCTTTGAATATTCGTAGAATTTGGTATACATGCGTTCAAATTCTGAAACATTTTTATCATTAATTAAACTAGGAACCATTTTATTGATTGCATTTGCTACGTTTTTATGCATAAGGATTCTAGCTGTGCTATAAAACAGATTGTCGTGGAACTTGTTTTGCTCGAGAGCACACAGAATTTCAAGTATCATGATGTATTCTTTACGTGCTAATAGAATATCTAAGATTGACGTCATATAATAACAGATGGAATCACTTAATGCTGTATTTTTCGAAAAGTCCAAAGAATAGTTTTGAAACATGAATACGCTCCATAATATAACAGAGACAAAGTGCAACATAAAGTCCGTTAATTCAACAGCAAACTCTTTGAGATTAGCAACTTTATGTTTCACGTGATTAAAAACGTTACTGAACAGTTCTTCGATACTAGCCACATTAAAAAAATGTAAATAAGTGATGAAAGCTAAAATCTGAGTTATTGTGCCATTGTTCAAAGGCAATAGATCTAACGGCTGAACATTGACAAATGTGTCAAATGTTAAATTGCTACTTAGTAGAACGCATAAACCTTTGTGTATTAGTACAACCATTAAGTTGGAGAAAGAATAAATTTTTTTCAAATAAGATAGATGCTGCGAAGTTACAACTGGCTGCTCATGCTGAAAAATCGCTTCAGACATATAAAACAATATGTACGACGTGATAGCTATTTTTCTTACGAAGGCAATGAAAACCGGATTGATCATTTTAGTCGAGTCATTAAAAGCAGGATAACAGCTATAATTGTTATTTGTCTGTTGGTTGTACTTAGACAATGCGCAATAAACCTTTTGTTGAAGAGAATGCTCTTTCAGCATGTCAAGATAGCTTTGTATTTTGGTGTCTTCGTAGAATTTGTAAGTACCTTCGATGACGTCTAATCGAGCGCAACAATTTTTGTAAAAATTGTTGCATTCGGAAAACACACTGTTCAGTTGACTATTAGTACAGCTTGTGTAGCAGTATAACTTGTAAATAACAAGATCAGACTGTAAAAAAATGGTATATGAAATGGCATCAGACAGTTGAGACGGATCTTCCGCGCTGAAATAGTTTGTCAAAAACAAATCCACCGGTTTGCAAGTTTTTAAAAATCTTTTGTCAGGCGTAATAATACGATTAATTTGATCTTTTACGCAAATTTGGTAACAATTGAAGTCGACAATAATCAAAACGTACGACAACGCTTTACGAACGAGTTCAACCGAAGGACTTAGCAACAAGCAGCGAAAACAGTCAAACAAGTAAAAATTTACTTTTAAGTCAATTGAGACGTCGTCAATGTAAATCGAGCAGCTGATAGCGGCCATTTTTTGCACTTTTAAGTCATTCGTCACTATAAATTCCAAATACGAATTACAGCCAGTAGCCATGTATATAACTAACTCGTTTTTTGTACTTTCATAGCAATGGTCTATTTTTAGAACTTCTTGGATTTTTAACGATGTAACGTTTCTCATATTGATATTGGCCGATTCTATAACTTTAATCGAGTTTGATGACGACGCGTTTAACTGAGCTGATAGTTCAGCTAAAGTCATTTTTAAAATTTGAACGTTAAATTCTCGATCATAAATAACAAAAGAACCATCAGATAAAACAAAAACGCTGAAACGAGTACAACTACTGTTGCAGACCACTTCAACCTGGTTCTTTGATTTCAGAAAAAAATTTAATATCGAAAAATAGAAACTGTTCTGACTCGCTAGCAAACCTGACACTGATTCACGAACGTAAGGCTGAAAAAAAGAAAAAGTGTCCATTTTCTTATTGGAGTAAATGACAATAGCAGAGAAATCGCATATTTTCTGGACTGAAAGTATCGTTGTAGGCAGCTCGTAACTGAATAGCTCGTTGACGGTTACTTTGTTCTTAAAAGTAACAGAAAGTATGCGAGCTGTAACTTTAGAAATCAGTAAAATATTTAAAGCGTCTGACATTTCGTCTACTAAAATGAACGAGTCTGGCTCGACGCGCTCGTCAATCAGTTTGAAAACCCGCAAAAAATGCGTTTGCAAAAGTAACTTGTTTTGGCTCACGACCAGCCAAGTATTTTTTTTGGTTACTCTACAGTCATCAATTGTGTATTCAGAGGTTGAAAAGTCAATTACAGGTACTCGCGATTCAAATATCAGCTGAATTTGATACGGATACTGATTACTCAAACATTTTTCCATTGAAAAAAATTCACAACATTTCGTCCATAGTACTACAATTTAAATAATGCAAAAATGAAGTTGACGCCTTTATCTTTTTTTGCCGTTAATGAAATATTTAAAATTTCATTTGAATTTACAAACTCTTTAATAAAAATAAAGGGTTTCTTATATAACTTTTAATTCGGAAAAGCATTACCTGCTCCTTAAGCAACTCAGCCCACAACTTTATCATTTAATTTGTTTATTTTAGGGATTTATGACGGCAAAGTTTGCTAAATATATCTGTTCAATATCAAATCTTTTACTAGAAGTTCCAAATGAATTTGTCAAGTCAGCTGTCGAAAATACTGAGTTGCAACAAGTAAGTTCTTGTCACCCTATTGATTTCAGAAAATTCCTGATATTGAAAAAATTGTAAACATGTTGCTGACGATGTCTCCACCTTATTCAAAAACGGTAATTCGGTCACTACTACAAGCATATATGTTTATACATCAATATTATGTGCAAAACGAAGGCTTAGATGAGCTTTGTCAAAAAGTTTTAGATGGCGAATTCGGTTATTGCCCTCGAGTTTTTTGCGACAAAACCACCGTTTTGCCGTATTGCAAAGAGAACAACAACGAACGGTCTAGACTCCGACTTTACTGTCCTTGGTGTAAACAGTCGTACTCTCGATCTGAAAAAATAAACAAGGTTAAGAACACTTCCAATTCTCTGTCGCCCCAAATCGACGAGTCTTTTTTTGGTCCTGGAATACATTTAAAAATTTTACAAAAATATTCTCAACTTAACGTAGACGCTCCGCTCAAAAAACACGAACCTAAAATCTATGGTTATAAAATAAAAGGTTATTACAGTTCGCTAGATAGCGACGCAAACAAAACTTAAAATGAATCATCTACTAAAGATGTTCCTGTCCAAATTCTGTGATTTCACACTTCGTTTGATTTACCACAACCACGTAAATAGAATTGAACTGCGGTTATTATTAACCATAATAAATAATCTATAAATTATAAATATAATTATAATTCTATTAAATATACAAAGTCCAGATCAGATCGGCTGAAAACAGGTTTAGTTTTATTCTGTTTGGTTCTCGATGGATTTGCTTTGCTACAACAGAGAAAATGGCCAATTAGACGCTTTTTTGCGAGGGTTTTATTCAAAACTACTAAAGAAAGACACTTATAAAAAATTTCAAGAATGTGAACGTTTAGACGACATAATTCCATGTCTAGATGACACAGTTTACGAAAAATATTTCGAAGACGAACAAAAATTCACCGATATCAAATCTTTTGTCATACAGTTTAAACGGGCTTTAGCAGAAGATTATAAGCTTTTTTGTCGCTACGCCAGTCCACTGGCTCACAAATTCATCGACTATCTGTCGTACGAGTCAATTATTGACAATATCATTCTATTGTTGCAATTTTCTGTCGAAGAACGTTCTAAACCAGATGTCATCAACATGCTAGATCCGCTGGGATGGAACAACGATCTAGAACTGCTTTTACATTTCAACGGAGAGCTGACAGAGCTATTTCGCATAGTGCTTTTTGACACACCTGTTGGCCCGTATTTCGAACGATATTTAGAACTCCTACGAGACGGAAACTCTGAATTGAACTTCACATTGGATCAGATTGATTTTGAACTAATGAGAGTTTGCTTAATTCGATTTTGGCTTGAAGATTATTATAATTTTGTCTGTTCTTTAAGCTCAAACGGTGCTCAAGCTACGACACGGCAATATTTGTCAGATGTGCTGAAGAAAGAAGCCGATTACCTTTTGCTTAATGTGACGCTCAACACCTTACACGGAACAAATAAGAACGACATCTCTCGACGAGAACAGCTCTTTGCTAATTTCGGCTACTTGTACCCAGACATAACCAACGAAGCAAGAAAGTTCCACATCGACTCCATGCTCCCCAAATTGCTCACGACATATCCTGAATATAAAGAAGCGTTTTTAGCTGGTTGTGCTCAGTACCAAAACAAAACAAATAATAATAGTGCGAACTACTCGTTTGAAGATATCATGTACAAAAACATGCTCAACGTTTATGACGAGGCGTTTTCTTACCAAATGAACTTTGGTATTTTTCACGCGTACAAGCGCATAAGAGAACAAGAATCTAGAAACATTCTCTGGGCTGCTGAAATGGTAAGTATATCATCTATTCATTTTTAGGTATTAATAAACAATAAAGAAAAGATAGCCAAATACATTATTCCCATTCCTGAAGAATAATTTTGGTCGCGACAATTATTCTAGCTTTTTTTATTAACGTAATTCAACTTTTTTTGGTAATAAAATCTAATATAGTAGATCTGAAAAATTATAAGCATCTTTCTACTTTACTTATGGCTTTGCAAGAATGTTCAATAAAATAATTCATACACTGTTTGATGCTGTATTTTTATATTTGGCGTACTCAGTCAGTGTTACTCTAAGCAACATCATTCTGAATAAGTGGACACAATATAGTCTCTTTTTCTCTTTGCTCGACCAAATTTTCGTTTTTTTACTGGCATTTTTTTTATTTATTGATCGTTCTATTAAAGGGAGAGCATTTGTATGGAGTTTTTATTGCTGGTTTACATTACTACGCCAAGAAATAATTTATTACACTGAGCTTATAAATCAACCTATCACGTTAATTTATGACGAATTATTCCAGAATGTTGTTTTGAATTGGAAAAGCTTGTCATTTGCTGTTTGCGGAATTTACCTTTGTTTATCTTTCCCATTCGTACATCAACTGTTTGTGAAAAACCATTTAAATCGTACTAATATTTCGTTGATAAATCGAAATAGAAACAAAAACGGCGAAGTGAGCAATTCCAAAAATAAAACGCTTTGGCACTATAACATCTCTAATGAAGTTATTAACCTATGTTCTTACATCGATTTAATCATTCTTACGACGTTTCAGGTATATGATTTAATGCTGGCATTTCTTAATTTCAAAGAAAACCAATTCCGTTCATTTACTCCATCATTTTTCTTTATAACTAATGGAGTCGACGCAAGCTTTGGTGTTTACCTACTTGCTTTTTCTTTTCCAACGGAAAATATGTATTTTAGTTTTAACAACATGTTTTTCCTCGTATCTTTCCTGACCATCGACTTACCGCAACTTATATTTCGAGCTTATTCAGTCTACATTAATCAATCCTTTGAAGGTAAGTTTTATATGTTGGTCAAAAACGCAATCATGATCATCATTGAGCTGCAAAGTTTTTATTTTTATTTTAAACGGAAGAAAAAAAAAAGGCTTCGTGAAAAAAACCGAAAGATGCATGAACGAAAACGAAAAAAAGTTATTTCTTTGCGCCAGTACTGTACGTTACTTGTAAACGAATGTCCAACTTTTTTGAAGAAACTGTCGCATCAAGCACAGATCAAAACAAAGGACTCTTGTTTTTTACTAAACATGCATTTACAGTTCATATCTTGTGCAATGTTGGTTTTAATTTTGAAGTTAGTTAATGTTGTATCGCTGGCTTGTTATTTTTATGAAAGAGAAAAACTATGGTGTAAAAAAAACAAAACTTTAATTGTTGCAAGTCAGTTCGCTTTGTCTTACATATTCACCATTGTATTAGTAGGAAGATGTAGTAGTTCAGTCATAGAAGTTTTCATTATCGCCATCGATAATATGATTTCTCTTTTAATACAATTTTATCTAGACTATCAATACGATTTTTATGTGTTCTCTTTCTGGCTTTACTTCTATTACTTTTTTGTCGTATTGCAGATCTATAATCTAACAATCTTATTATTTCAATTAACATTACACATATATTCAAAAAAAGTAGATTATTTTGCTAGAGCAAAAATATACGCTGAAATCGCACATGAAATTAGCTTACCCAGAAGTGTTGCGAACTTCTTTGTTCCATGCGACAGTGACAAAACTTACAATACTAGTAAGTTTAATTTTCTAGTGTCTTGCTTTATAGACGCATACCTCGTTAAGGTGAATTATATTATAATTTGGAAAGCAATACTTTTATTGATAGGTATATTATTTACAAGCAATTCTGTTTATATCGGGATTGTTTTAACTTTTATCTTTTGCAAATTCTACATTAACATGTTAACTTTCGCAAATATAAGAATTCTACTAAGATCGAGAGAAATCAGAAGTAGGTTTCTCTATTTACAACTAAATAAACACAACAATGACAATAAACTAGAAGAACTTTATAGTGGAAATGATCTAATTTTTGTTTTACCACCATAATTTTTTTTATTGCGCAGCGTCTTATTTATCGAAAATTGAATAAACATTTGCAATGATTCGATTATACATATCTTTTTTGTTTGCGTATGCTATTGCCAGACTAAATACGCACGATTCTACGTCTAGCATCAATCAAAAATCTGCTTTTCAAACCCATTCAAATGATTCATCAACTAACAATGATAACAAATACAACAATATTAAAATCGCTGGACATATTCCTAAAAAGAAAAAAGATCAAAACAATTTATCAGACGTTTCGCAAAATACAACGTTGAAAGAACATGTTCTTTTGAATACCCAATCTAAAAACGAAACTTTTTTTCTCAACTCAGCTGGCACAGTAAATCACAATCAATTTGATACTTTTGCAGCTGATTTTGTTAAAAATGAAATTTCAGCGGAAAACACTGCAAAAGACAACGACGTCAAATTGTGGTCGAATCCACAATGCTTGCTTTTTTTAGTTACTGATACTTTAATAGTTCACGGAAATATGTATGTAGACGGCAAAATATACGTATTGTCTGGTACGAATATTCATGAGTACGAAGAATTGGAAATAATTTCTGATGAAAACGATGATAAATCTGTTGTTAAAACGAAAAAACGGAAATTAGATTTGTTCTCAGCCAATATTTGTGACCAAAAAGAAGCTGTTATAAAAGGAAATCTCAAAGTTCAAAATGCCAGTGTCTTAATTGGAAGTGGATTACTAAAGGTTTACGGATCAATTTCTGCTGCTCAAGGAATGAATATTGATTACGGTTCACAGGTCCAAGTGGGTTTTGGTAAAAACAAAGAGAACGCAGACTTTTTAAAAAATCATTTTAATCATCCTCTGTTAAAAGAAGATGTACTTAGCGAAATAACTATGATTGATATTACATGCCCGAATAGATCCATTAACAATAAAACAATAAAAAAAGGAGGTATGGTGATACAAAATAGTAGTTCTCTCATAAATTACGGAGACATTAAAAGTGGTCTTATTTTGGTAGATCATGCGTCGTACATTCATTCTGCTTGTGGAACAATATACTCTGGAAACTCTAAAAAAAACTTGAACGTCGCTCTGATTGGTAGCTCTAAATTATATTTACTTCAAACTAGTGTAATTTCAAATGAGCTTTCTATAGATCATGGTTCAGTTGTGAGACATCAAGGTGACATGAATATCAATAAGATTTTATCGATCAACAAAAATTCAGAACTTGTTTTGCTCGGACGCATGAAAGCAGATATGCTGGAAATCGGATTAGGAAGCAAAATCACAATATTAGAAAGCAATAACCATACCTTAACTACATCTAAATATTGTGTCGAGATTAGTACTCATTTATTTATGTCAAACTTTACGGTTTTCAAATGTCATTGCGCTATTTTGGCTGAATTAATAGAAATTGAAAACGCTGACTTATTTAAAGTCAAAGACCTGACTGTAAATACTAACTTTATAATTGACGGTATTCAAAAAATGGAAGTTGGTCATCAATTAATTATTCACGAAAATCTTCATTTGGAAAACGTAGTTGCTCAACTTAATAAACTGATTTCTTCGGATAAAATTGTGTTTAAAAACAATGCAATGATAAATACTAATTCTATAATAATGAAAGGATGTTTACTTGCTTTAAGTAACAAAGTTAAAACCGAAATCAAAGAATTAACAATTATTGATGCGGAAATATGTGATAGAGTAACAATATTCGCAAGTACAAACAGTGAACTAGATATTTTAAACTTAGCTATTGAAAATGGCACCACTAAAATGCAAGAAAGTACAAATATATCGAAAGAAGTTCCTATTGATAATATAATATTACTCGAATCAAAATCTAGAGCTAAAATTACAGTTATTAAAGGTAACACAACTTTGATAGCCAGAGATAATTCCAACCTTGACATAACTTATAAGACTAATCTGTCGAAAATACCTATAATTGAGTCTTTGACAGGTAGTTTTATTAATATTTTGAAAGCAAATCAATTAATTTTAGATTTAGCAAAAGTCATACTGAATGCAAAATTACACTTTAGCTTTGCCGAAAAACTAGTAATAAATAATATAAACAGTTATACAAACAGTAAAATATCCCTTAACGGAAACAATATCTTTATTTCTAATTTAATTGATATTGAAGAACGATCAACGATGTTAATACAAGCCAATAATACGGAAATCACAACAAATACTACCATTTCCACTCGTAGTGCGTTGTTCATCAATTCAGAAAAAATCAACAACAATACGTGCAATAAGAACAGTTTAGTTAAAGTAAATCTTCACGAAGTAAACAATCAATTGATTGTTCGTGATTATAGCACGCTCGAAATAAATTCGTTGCTATCGATTAAAGAAGCAATCGAACTTTTGGTAGTTAGTCAATCGTCATTTAGTTCGTTTTGCCAATTAGAAAATACAAAAATTTTCAAAACTCCTTCGTCTTTAGTCTTCACAAAAGAAAATAGCAACGATATCGTAGAAGAAACTTTACTAACAATACCCCCAAGTGAATCTTTTTTACTAAAAAACGTGGTGCCTCATACCGATGTCAGAAGTGAAAAACAAAAAATTCACGACAAATATTCACCAAATTCAGACAACCAGTCCGAATTTAATAACAGTTTATGGTCAGTTTATGATGAAGCAAAGGAAAATCAATCAGAATTTTTATTAAACAATAATGAATCATCTCATACAGATGTAATTAAAAGTGCTCCAATTGACGCACATATAAAAACAGAACCACAAGAACAAAACAAATCTCCTCTTTTAGAAAACCCACTCTTCAACAAAAAAAAAAAAACTAAAAAGTTTAACTGAAGATACTAACACCATTAAAATCGTTAATCTAAAAGATTCAATAGTAGTTGTCGATTTGAGTCCTCCAGCAAAACGCTTTTTTCAAAATAAAGTTTAATGATTGCTTTTTTCGCGTTTATTAAATTATTTAATTGATTTGACAGCAAATTCTCAAACTGATGAGTAATTGTTTTGAGGGGATGAATTTCATAAGTCGTTCTCAGCACAATAATGTATTCTGAAAACGAACTTATTAATGTTTTTATAGTTTGCAAATAATGATCTTTTCCAATAGTGCTAGCAGTGTAACTACCGTTCATTGAATAATCCTTTATTACATCACACAGAAAATGCAACCCTTTTATCAAAATCTCATAGGCTTTTGCTATAAAGTCGAGTCTTATTAAAAGAATCGCTATTAGAATAAATCTAATGTGATATGAATAAATAGGTTCATTCATCTGTGCAGAATTTTTATAACTATTTGATGAAATAAAGTTACTTCTTAAATTATTAATTTCGCTAGGCAGCATAACCTTAGTTTGATTAATATAAGAAACAGCACTCTTAACCGTTTTTAGTTTTATGTTGTTAATAATATTTTGATCTTCCTCAATTAAAAAGAATAAAACAAACTTTTTTAGTAGAGACAATGGTAATATATGAGTTTCTCTGATTTCAACTAATTTAATAAAAGCGTAAACGCTAGTATTGATTTTACCCAATTCTAAGCTCAATGAAAATAATTGATAATAAAGGTATGGAGAGGATCGCTCGTACTTGATGGCGGTTTCGATAAGCTGCAAAGCTCCAAGATAATTTTTCAGAGCTATCTCCACTGATGCTAAATTAGCCCATGCTGAAGCACAGTCTGAATTGAAATAAACAACCATTTGAAATGCTCGCTTTGCGGACGTATAGAATTCCGATTTCAAACAAATCACTCCTAAATTGTATTGCAACGGTGTGCATTTGGGCTGTAAGTATAAAGCTGCATTTAACCAGTCAATTGCTAATTGATGATCGCTTGATTCCCCGCGTAAATACAACTTACTATAATGATCTGCAATATTGGCTGCTGCTTTGAAAAGTTTTTTTTTTGATAACTCCCACGCCTTAACAAATAAAGTAATATCGTTATTGATTTCTCCCAATAAACAGTAATAAATCGGTTCATCTTCGATTTTTACATTATCAATTAAAGCTAATGCTGCTTTATGACGCCCACCTTTTAATAAACAGTCAACTGCTTGCTTCCACGCTTTCATGCGTTTGAAGTTATCACTGGCACTGATATAATTGTTATACTCGAGTTGAATTTGTGCTGCGTTTTTTGACAACTCCCAAAGAGTAGGAAAGTCAACAAGCCAAAATGCATTTGAAAACTCCCGCTGGTTTTCTGCGTTGAACAAAAAGATTTCTAACTCATTTAATTGGCCAAGCACTCTAGCTTTACGTATACTTGAATTTTTCTCAGCAAGAGAACGGTAATAAAGAAAAACAAACCTAATTAGCCAGCTTAAGTCACTAAATAATTTTCCCTTTTCTACGCAAAAAGCTGATAGAATTTTAACAAGGTTATTGTTAATCTCGTCGTCACAATTGCCGCAGACAAAATAATAAAATGCCCAGCACATAATTATCAACAAATCGATTCTAGTAAGCTCTGTTTCTTTTAACTTTAAGTTGGCACTGCTAATTTCTAATAAATCAGATTCGGGATAATATTCGTCTAGAGCCACATATTTAATCTCATTAATTGAATTATTTGATGATTTAAACAATTCCTCGTATGTGTTTTGATTTGCCACGAGATTTTTTTCAACCGTAAGCATGACGTTCTGGATTTTTTGAAACTTTCTTCCTTTTCCGAAGCTACCACTTAAATAAATTCCAAAAATTGAAGTTAAATTTTCGACAAGAACTAATGCGAAATCAAATTCAATTATGCGAGTAAAATAGTAAGCTAGTTCAATTTTTAAGAGGGACAAATACGAATTTAAGTTACTAACCATTTCAATGTTTATTTGCAACAAAGCTTCAAATAACCTTTTACAATTTTTCAAAAAAATCTTACTAATCGAAACATGGTAAGTGTCTATAACATCGAAGTCAAAACAAAGTTTTAGTTCATCGTAAGTCTTTTCAAAGAGCGAAAATTCTGAATAACTTTGTCTGTCTATTTTGATCATATTAATTAATAAACATGTAATTAAAATAGACTGAGACTTTACAATATTAATCAAACTCGAATCATCGTTATCGTAACATTTTAACAAAACCCAAGAAGTTCGAAAAGCCAAATGTAAAATTCCTACTATAAGAGTAGAATTTTGTTTGATATCACAAATTAATTCAGGCAAGATATCTAGCAGGGTTTTCATGCAAAAACTAGCCAAATAAATTAAGTTCGAAAAACTAATTGTTTTGTGCAATGTCAAACCATTAACACTTATCTCTTCAACCTTATCATTGTACAAATCGCGATAATTCCTGCCATTATTTTGCAAAAAGTTTGCGTTGACAAAACAATTCAAATAAATAGTTTGAAGTAGTACCACATGAAGGATGTCGTCAAATATATTGGCAACACTTTTTTTTTGGAAATCACTTTCTAATGAAATTAAAGTTTGCCTCACTTTTTCTATTGTTAACAATTGATTTTTTTCTAACTCTGAAATATAAAAGTCTTGGTTTTTACTTAAATATACTAATTCAAAAAGTTTAATGTGTTTTTCTTTTAACTTTGGTTGACTTGTTTCGAGCTTAAGTCCATAAAATACATATAAGTAAAAGCCAAATATGTTATTATTTGGCATCATTTTGTAAAATTACTATAACTTGAATGGCATTTTTTAAATATTTTTATTAATATTTAATCCTCTGAGTACAACAGAAAATGAGTGACCACTCAGAGTCACTAAGTGATAATGACACAGATGCAATAACAAACAATTTCAAGTTTGGTTTTGCTTATGATGACTTAAAAAATTACACTATCTATAAAATCAAGGTAACACCTAATAGTGAATCTCAGGTAAAAATAGACAATAAAATCGAAGAAAAAAACATAAAAATTATTACTAACAATAAGTCTGCGAATAACATGTCTGTGGCTAGTGTATTGCTTAAGTTACGAGCTAAAGGATATATCAATAAAAAAGAAAATATTATAAGCATTGTTCGAATTGACAAACATGACAAAGATATTGATTTAAAACAAGCTTACAAGATGTTATCTTACGCATTTCACGGTAACAAACCTAAAATGAAAAAACGAGCAAAACAATTAAAAGCGGCACTAAGAACAAACATTAAATCAAATAAAAAAACGGATAAGTAAATTATTTGTTCATTATGCAATGGTGAAGTCCAATATTTTTACTCTTCTCTACTATCATATCCGTTTATACAAATAGTGAACTTTGTTTATAAAATCAAATAGAAAAAATTTTTTTTTTATTAGTATACAAAGTTGCGTGAGTGTCAACACGTGCATCTACTTTAATCCATGAAAATTGCAAGCAGAATATATAGTTCTACTTTTTGAAATATTGCTTTTCTACAGACAAATTAGAAAATTCTCACTATCATTAGTTGTTAAACAAAACTAACACTTTATTACGGCATATTTCAATTACAAACTCTCAAAAAAGCTACCAGCTGTATTGTAAGATACAAATTAAGTGTTTTATTAATTTCGTATGAGATACTTAAATAGACTTATTTCATTGATTTTGAAATTTCATAAATTATTTTACTATTGCGATTGAAATGTGTTAAAATACTTTTTGTTTATGACACGGAATGTATTAAACAAATCTATTTGAAAAAAAAATAAACTTTGGCGTCCCGATCTACACCTTTACAACATAAGTCACACAATCAAATAATGATTATGTTATGTTAAGATTTGTAATCTTCATTTTCTTATCTCATTAGTATGTTAAAACATAACAAAGATACAAAAACTTTGATGTAAATTAATTGCGCAAACAACACTTTTCGTCAATTACTTAATTTCACAGCTACATCTGATTGAAAAAATATTTTTTTATAAAAAAAAATAGATTTATACAGCACGATACAACTTATGATTGAAGTACCGTTTGATCTAGGACTTAATTAGCAAGACTAATATCCATTTTTAAGATACATATCTTATTTCACATTAATTAATAATTTAAATATTTTAATAACTCGTAATAACAAAAGCATCAAATTGACTATTCCATAGATCTTAGATTTTCCGCGACATACTCGATTTCAAACAACAATTTAACTGTTATAATTTTAGGTCAATATATAATACTAGTTATTTTTATTAGGTATAGAACTTTAATTCATTAATTGAAATTTTATAATCAAAATTGTTAATAATAAGAGTAATTTCGATCTAATCTAAAATTTATTGATCGATAAATAATATATTAATTCGAAGATTAAAAAATAGAATGCTAGCAATTGAACTTAATTTTATTAGAAGTACTAGGAAAATATAGTTTACAATTGCTAATAGGTACGATTATTAGATCATCGTAATAAATTTTTTTGGTATAAAATAGATATTTGACACAACGAAGAAAACGTTTCTTACATATCAAAGAATACTAGTTTTTAGCTAGTTTTAACTGTAAGTTTTTAGAAGTTAAGTGCAAGCTGGTTATAAGCAGCTTCATT